AAGTAATCATATCAAGAGTCATGATCTTTCATATGAAAAGACACATCTTTTCATCTATATTTTTTCTAGAATATTCCACAATATTCTACACGATTTCCAACAATTTCACGTGTTTATTAAGCTTAATTTCTCGTTCACCAGAAAACGAATTCCACTTAAATAATCACTTAAATTGGCTACAACCAATTTCGAATTTCCAACATAATTCTCGTAGTCTACAAACGACGCAAGCTCATAGTTAAACCTCAGGAAAATCGAAAACCATAACCGCCTGAAGAGACAATAGCATAACAGCGTCATGGCAAAAGACTTTATTTTTCTTACTTCTTTTCTTTGGCGTTTCGCTACAATACAGCCTAATAAGCCTAGACGAGTTAAATTCCGACGAAGCACCACCATTCAAAACATGTTTCCCAGCTCCAATCGATGTCAAATAGCTCCTCATAAACCCTGAGCCACCCCTCGATCTTGCAATGCACCCATTTTCAGAAGCCAATCCATTCAAAACTGCTAATTCGACTCCATAACCACCCGAAAATGGGGTCTAGACGAAAAAAAAAGTAAATGAAAAGAAGAATGTGAAAATCAAAATTAAAAATGGGGAAAAACGAATTTAGGAACTTACTTTATTGAATGCGGAGCGAGTGTATCGATTAACAGAGCGTCCAATTCGTAAAAATATCATTTTTTCCGGTGATCAAAACATGAATTCCCCCCTCGATTTATAAAACGAAGCCCTAAAAAACTCTTACGACATCGTTTCTTCAATATACTTTTATGTCCTCAAAATGCAAATACAACTATTTGCTCTATAATTATATATGTTCTATGGTTTGCAGATTGGGAAAACGAAGGAAATGCAGGTGAAAAGAAAGAAAATTGGAAAGATGAAGTGTACGTAACCGGAAGTAAAATGCCGCATGGCGATGAGGTGAATTCACGAATATGACCCTTGAGTGTCAATTATGCTGGAGATTTGCATTGGGTATTTTGGTAAATGAAACAGTATGTCTGTGGCCAATCCGTTGGCCACAACCTTGCTATTAGGGTTAATTAGGTCAAATACCCTCCAAAACTAACAAATAAGAATAATACCCTAAAACTAATTAAAATCTTTAACCTGTATTAATACCTCCCAACTCTCCCAAAACCTTAGGAAGCCCCAAATCATCATCCCCAACACTGGCTACGAAATCCACCACCCTGAAATCATCTGTCCCAAAATCGTCGAGCTCCGCTGCCTCTCCTTCTACAGTGACTCTTATTTCGATGCAGACTCCGACTCTTGTTTCTACAATGTCTGGAGAAAAGTGGGTTGAAGAAAAAAATATCGATGAAGATCCATCTTCAAAGAAGAAGAACAAAATTTCTTCAAAATCTTACAAACCCAAGGTAGCATTAATTGTAGGAGAGGAGTGTCAATTCGGTTTCCCCTCGTGTATACGTTTTAATTTTGGNGGCTCGGCTCGTTGCCACCGCTAATAACCACCCGAAATGGGGTCTAGACGAAAAAAACGTAAATGAAAAGAAGAATGTGAAAATCAAAATTAAAAATGGGGAAAACGAATTTAGGAGCTTACTTTATTGAATGCGGAGCGAGTGTATCGATTAACAGAGCGTCCAATTCATGAAAATATCATTTTTTCCGGTGATCAAAACATGAATTCCCCACTCGATTTATAAAACGAAGCCCTAAAAAACTCTTACGACGTCGTTTCTTCAATATACTTTTATGTCCTCAAAATGCAAATACAACTATTTGCTCTATAATTATATATGTTCTATGGTTTGCAGATTGGGAAAACGAAGGAATTGCAGGTAAAAAGAAAGAAAATTGGAAAGATGAAGTGTACGTAACCGGAAGTAAAATGCCGCATGGCGATGAGGTGAATTCACGAATATGACCCTTGTGTCAATTATGCTGGAGATTTGCATTGGGTATTTTGGTAAATGAAACAGTATGTCCGTGGCCAACTTGCTATTAGGGTTAATTAGGTCAAATACCCTCCAAAACTAACAAATTAGAATAATACCCTAAAACTAATTAAATTCTTTAACCTGTAATTAATATCTCCCAACCCTCCCAAAACCTTAGGAAGCCCCAAATCATCATCCCCAACACTGGCTACGAAATCCACCACCCTGAAATTATCTGCCCCAAAATCGTCGAGCTCCACTGCCTCTCCTTCTACAGTGACTCTTGTTTTGATGCAGACTCCGAATCTTGTTTGTACACTGGCTGGAGAAAAGTGGGTTGAAGAAAAAAATATTGATGAAGATCCATCTTCAAAGAAGAAGAACAAAATTTCTTCAAAATCTTACAAACCCAAGGTAGCATTAATTGTAGGAAAGGAGTGTCAATTCAGTTTCCCCTCTTGTGTATACGTTTTAATTTTGGTCCCTTGCTGGAAAATTGACTTTCTAGTTTTGATATTTCGTATGTGAAGCCTTTTAGAAATTCTCATAGCTTCCAAGTTGCCTTTTGTTTTGTGTAAACAAAAGTAATAGAAGGAAATTTAGTGCGGAAGTTATGGCCCCGTTAATAGAAGTTGGAAAGCAATGTTGCTGNCCATGTTGACTTGTTATGAGGAGAATCAATGCTTAAACCCCTGTTTGAGTCACATTATTTTTTTCATTCTCATTCTTTTACTCATTTTCAACTATACGTTTTTCAATAAAATAATATTTTCAATTACATCAATAACTTTTTCTTCTTTTTCAACTACATATTCCCCATCACATCAACCAAAAAATGCCTTCTTGGAGCCACAAATGTGCACCAAACAGGGGCTAAATGTCGATAAGCTAAAAAATCATGCTCAAGATTAACTTTACTGATTGCACAACATATGGCAATTCGAACGTTTCAAACCACTTGCATTTTAATAGGAACAATGGATCTAGCTGTGAGATCTAAAGGTGCAGTACCAACGATGATAGTATAACTGTGTTTGAATGAAATCAAATTGCAAATCACTTTAAATGTTGAAGTGGGGCTAATCAAATTATGAGGCTAATTGAAGTGGGGAAGAAAGGAAAGAGGAAGACCAAAGCAAGACAAGCAGAGGAAGAAGGAAATGTAGCCAACGGTTTCCCTGAAATTCAAATCCGAAACAAAAAGAACATTTTACGCTTTTATTTTCTATTATAACCTAGAGATGGAATTGTGAGAAGGTTGTGAATGATTATCGTGAAAAAATCCACCACCACCTCTAGGTTATAAGAGAATGTTTACAGGGACGGTAAACAGCTTCTATGGATGAATAGGATGTTTCAGCTTATATAGAGACACAATTTTCTACATTTTTACTGCAAAGTTTTGGAGTATGTTGGTCCTTACTTTTCCTTGCTTTGGAGTTATACAGAACTTGTAATCTTGGATAGAAAATCCACATGTAGAACTACTGATACTTTGTAAGATTTTTTTTGTTATGAATTATATTTGCATTCTGATACTTCACAACTTGTTTTCCATTTTCCATATAATTAATGTTATGAATCTAAAGGGGGAAATATTTCTTTTCCATTTGCGACATCATGTTCTTGATTGCTAACTACCTATTGCTTTTTCTAAGTTTTGTCACTTTTTTTTTAGTTTCGGTCACTTTTAATAGTGTTTGTCACTATTTTTTATTACATTTTTTATTTTTTGGTCATTTTTTTGACTAAAAAAATCACTTTTTTATAAAAGTGAAATTGTGTCACACTGTTACTTACTTAATTTTATGCATTACCATCTAAGGATATCAAAGTTGCTCGTCAATTTTATAAAAGTGATATTGTTTCACTTTTTAAAATTTTGTCACTTTTTTTTATGTTTTTGTCACCCTTTAAGTTTTTGTCATTTTTTAAGAAGATAGAAAAAGTGAAATAATATGTTATATTTTTCTAACATAATCAGTATGTGGATTGACCTGGATGTGCTGATTATTTTAAGAACATGATTACTGGTGCTGCACAAATGGATGGTATTATTTTGGTATTTATCACTTTTTTTTGGTTTGTCACTTTTTTAAATTTGTATCACTTTTTGAGAGTGTATCACTTTTTTAAAGTTTGTGTCACTTTTTTAAAAAATAAAAAAGTAACAATTTTTATAAAAAAAAGTGATTGTGTCACTTTTTCATTTTACACGGTATTTTTTACTTTCTAAAAATTTTTCATATAATTTTTCAAAACATCCTAATTTTAAGGGTATTTTTGTAAGTACCCATTTCTATCAACTGGGGAAAGAGGCACCATTTGGGTGAACTCTTGCTATTGACTTTAAAAATCATTGGCCCAACTTACTTACGGGCTCGAGCCCAACCCAAAAGGGATGATCGAACGAGTCAAAACAACCTATATTCCTTTATTCTTGGTATTCTTTTCTCCTAGTTAAAATATTCCTTTTTTTATTTATTTGTAATTAAGAAATATAAAAAATTGTAAGTGCGTTTTTTCAAAGAATTGACACGATAAATGACTGTAGAAAAAAAAAGGAAAATTGCTCCATACTGTAGAAACAAAGTCTCATAGATAAAATGAAGACAATTAAATGTCACCACAATTATTATTTAGTACAAAATATTACAATACATCCCTTCTCAATCAAGGAGAATCACTTGGAATTGACTATTCAAGACTTCATTGATATGTTTGGTAAAGTGAAGTAAACAATGCTAAATAATATTTTTTTTAAAAAAAAGCTATAATCACATTGATTGTAATATTCGGTAGAAAATATTTTTAATGTAATATTATTACTTTTTTTTTTTTGAAAATTTTTTGTAATTAAGATTAGACCTTTATTGAATACCAGTCGCGACTCCACCAATGATTCTACATATTCGTATCAAATCCTAAAGAAAAATCATCAAGAGACCATGAAAAGGAAGTGTGGGAAGTTGGCGAAGCAGGGTGAGATTCCGAAGACGAAGAATTGGAGAAAGCAGCATTGACCAAAGGTTTTCGAAGCATCAAAGGCACAACATCTTCAAGAAGACCTTGTGGGCCTGGTAACCCCGGTCCATCTAATTCCCCTAATACTGGGCTCGAGTTGAAGATTTGATTGACTTCTGCTGAACAGTCTTGGGCTCGCAATATGGGCCCATGACCTTTTTGTTTCTTCGTTGGTGGATCAATTTGGTCCAGTGGATTGAGCAACAAAAATGGGTAAACAAAGTGGAGGTGAAGCCCTTCATAGGTGATAATAAGGCTGTCCGGGTCATCGCTGGACCGCTCCACCTGCTTTTTTGCACTACACCTTGGGTTTGTGCACCTGTAATAGCTCCTACATTTCAGGAAAATTAAAAAAAATTAGATTTGGATATCATTTTGCTTAATTCTACCCCGAAAATGCAGATTCAATATCATCTTTAGACACGTCTTTGCATTATATGATCAAGTCAAGGATACGAGTGTTTTAACTATCCCAAAATACAAAAGATAACGACGTGACGAATAAATTACAGAGCTTCTCTGGTGACTGTGCAGACGTGTAGATAATATTTTCTTGTATATTAAATATGGCAAAGAGACCATGAAGCAATTAAGGTTACTAATCACTTTAATGCAAATTAAGAACTTATCTATTAAGTAATTCATTTCTTCATGAACAAATTAAGTAATTATGATTTATGGGTTGTTTTCAAGTATAAATTAGGAATGAATTGATTAATCTACAACCCTAAAATTTACTTTAAA